TTCTCTTTTGACTAGTTCGCAGCTTGGTGCGGAGAATGGCAAAACTGACTGAGGCTGCCGGCGAAACATTTGAGAATGTACCAAGTCCACTGTCTGATGCTGGGAAGCATGACAACTACTATGTCAGACGACTTCGGACTAGGTGCGTTCTACCCTGCGTGCGTACCCTGACAACAAGATCAAGTTGAGCCAACGAGGTGCTATGCTTTGCCTATCTATATGTTTGACATATATATGAATTATCGTTGAGCATGGTGTCCTGCTTTGACGATGTCCGTCGCATGACGGACGAAAGCTCAGCAAGCATTCATCGGGATCGCGAGGCGTTACGCCGAGGATCTATTCGCACAAATCTACAACCACAGCTCCAAGACAACCAATCCACAGCCTGCGGTGGAAACAACTTACGGATTCCTTCCACTCGCCTCTTCAAACGAAATGAAAGGTACTCCAAAATCGATCTGTTAAGGGACTCTTCGAGACCCAGTTTTTCTGCATATCAAACTCGCTGTTTGGTTGTCTGAAATCTGGCCGCCTAAGAGCCCTCAATTCCCGTCCTCAATTACGCCATATTCGAGGATTTAGAGCAGATGATGATTATGTCCATGCCCATGCACATACCAGTGCAAGGGAATCGTCATCTCCCTAGGCTCAAATCCATGACTCTATTATCCTCTTCCTCATCCCCGCTCACATTGTGTCCCGTTCTTTGGGGCACTGTTTCTGGCTTAAGTCATAACCAGTGGTGTGAGAATGCACCGCTTCCCTTTTTCTTCTTTGAATCGCGAAAAACACAATCCTCTCGTCTCTCAAATTGACATTCCCATCTAAGCCTAGGGTACTGGGATGATGACCCTCTATTGGCTAATTTCTCATGGACAAGTTAGAGGAGAATTTCAAAGTGTCACCCATGCAGCAAACAGTAATTTTGCGATATTTGACTGACTACTGAGCAATTTGGTCGCAGGGAAGAGTAAAATTATACGATTCCCTGATCTCCCTAAAAGAAATGGATGAAAAAGTCGAATTTACCAAGGACGTGGAAGAGAGCAGACATCTACCGATCTGGAATGTGGAGATCATTCGCTCCGAAGAAACTCTCAAGAAAAGAATTTTCCAAAATAAATCGCATACTGGAGTAACTCCAAACTCTCAGACGAACCATATTTATTGGATTGAGATTGGTATACTCCGGAAAATGGTCATAAGAAGCCTACGACTAACTGATTCTGAGTTCTGGGAAGAGGAACTGGCAGAACTAACTCAGATGTATTTTTGGAACGGATATCCAGAAAAAGCAATATAACGCAACATACGGATGTTGATGAACGGATGGAAGGACAGAGATTACGAAAGGAAAGCAAGAGGCACAAAAGAAAAACCATGTATATTTCTACCCTCATGCGAATTAGCTCGGAAGCTACGGTCAATACTATGTAAATGGAATATTTGCACAACCCTAAAGGAAAGGACAACCCTCTTCACCAACTTGCCCACAAACCATGAAGAAGTCAACAAAATGGAGTGCTCCGGAGTTTACAGCATAAATTACAAGGAGTGTGGACAAAAATAGATCGGAGAGAGAATCAGCTAAAGGATCAAAGAACACCAGAGACTATGCAGAAAAATGGATACGGGAAGATCTGAGATATATGCGAATAAAAGTTGGGTTTTGAGGAATCTCTTATTTCATAATTGTTGAGCTTACTTCCATTTCGAGTGAAAGTGCTGGGTGAAGATATTCAAAGGTTGGTTCCACCAGAAGACGACGGCGCATTCCTCTTGACCAGCTGTCGATTGGCTTTACTGGAAAATTCATGCTGACGTTGTTTCCAAGTCAATCTCCTTCGACTCCGGTGAAAAGGTGCTAAGCTTTCGTCCGTCATATGACGGATATCATCAGAGCGAGGTACCATCGTCACAACAAAATTCGAGTTAACGAGTCAAGAAGTAAGCTTTCACCCATCATAGATAGCGCTTTTTAGGGCTTTGTCGATGAGTTTACTTGACTCGTTAGCTTGAATCCTGTTGTGAAGATGTTACCTCGCTCGGATGAAATCCGTCATATGACGGACGAAAGCTTAGCACCTTTTCACCGGAATCGAAGGAGATTGCCTCGGAAACAGC